TCTAGTTTTGAATGCCATTTGTGGGATTTTAAGGAGAAAAACTGTCGCCCGTCACTGCTACTTAATATGTAGGAACAGATTTTGTGCACCGTTAAGACCCTCAGGGATAGAGCTTTCTGTTCAACTTACTTCAGAAACTGTTCCAGTAAACCGAGGAACCCCTGCACTTAAATAACCTGCTATTTCAGCTAAGATATACAATGTGTTAATGTGGGCAACACATATTTAACAGAGAGATTAAAATTTAAAGAAACGCAACAACTTACCAGGACCGATTGCGAAGCCGCCAACAAATAAGTAGATGGCGGCAATAGCCAAGTAAACAAGGTTTGGGGTAGAATGCCTGAGGGTCAAACCAATTGTGATGAGGATAGTACATAATAGCATCACAATAAGACCCGGTAACAATAGTTTCCGACGTCCTAAGCGCTCAATCAGGAAAATTGAAATTATCGTCACTAGAACCATCATGCCACCAACTCCCAGGGTAGCATAAGCTGCCTGACTTGGCGTGAGTTGGATGTAAAGGAAGAGGGCAGTGGAGTAGAAAAGGGCCTACAAGTTTAAAACAGTAGACAACATGTTTGAAAATGCAAACAACGGTTTCACATAGGCACCAACATCAAGCCGAGGCCACTCACCGCAGTAATCCCAGAGAACTGCTGAGACAGATGGGCGACAATCGCGATCAGTATGGCAGACCGTAAATGTCGTGTCTTAAAAAGATTGAGGAGAGAGAACTTTAAACAACGATATGAACGGGATAACAGCAACAACAACCTTCTGCCGACCAGAGTCAACGTGTTCTTTTAGTAGCTCTTCAAGCTCCTCATCGACGTTGTATTTTGGGCCACGGTACCACTGTAGGGCTAAAGGGGATGAGTATAGATGACGTTATCGGTCTTACCTGTTTTGGCTGACTCTTCATTGAGGCGATTTAGGAGTATGTAGCGCGGACTATCCGGGCAAGTCCACAGGAGTAGAAGAAGAACAACTGATGGGATTATTGTGAGACCTTAAGAGGCTGTGAACAAAATCTGAATACCATTTTACCCAAAAGATATGGCCAAAGGGTGGCTGTTCCCATGACCTCTGTTAAGCCCAATACCTGTGATACCAAGATGGCAATGACAACAGCCAGCTGATGAACAATACCAGCAGCCCCCCGAATGTTTACTGGCGCGATTTCCGCCAAGTAAACCGGAGCAATGGCAGTAAAAGCACCTATTTACATTATCAAAACTAAAGTTTAACATACCACAAGCCAGTCCTACCAAAATACGTCCGACTATGATCATTTCAAACGTATTTGCCAGCACACTGCACATCATTAGCAGGGATCCAGCTGCCATGGGAACGTTTAAAATGAAAAGGGAAAGTTTTCTGCGACAGAATGAAGAATGCGAATGAATCACGGTTACCTGCCCATTTTATTCGACATTGGACTCCCAACAAGTGCTCCAACCACGCCTCCTATCGGAAAGGCAGCAACAATGAGACTGCTCATTGCAGCAATGAATTCTTTGCGTGGTAATTTGTGCCGGCTTATGGTAACATTGGCAATAAACTCTTCAATCACCTGAAAGTATTTCAATGATATGCAAACATAGTTCACAGTACCTTGAGTGGGGCATTTATAACTCCGGTTTGGTAGCCAAACTGGAAAGATGAGCCGAATGCAATAACGAAGGTGGCGTAGACAAAGCGAAGGCTTAACATCGTCTACAAAAAAAAGATAATCTGTGGCTGAAATAAACCAAGTCAAGCTCACGTGGTCTAGTTTAGTTTTTAAAAATACTAAGAGGAAATAGATGCGAAATTTTCGACTTACCGGCAGTTCGTAGCAGTTGACTTTTGTCATGGATCTACATTCATTGTATTAGAAATACTATCATGTTTCCCGGATTTTATATACGGCGAAGAAGCCTGCTGTCTTACACGTGGAATATAGCTATGATACGTGTCGTAACCCTACGTGGGGCCCTTAGAACCAGCCTCCTAAACGGACCACGTGGCAGATGCGGTATACCAACACACGGGCCAAATCAGAGTATGGCAAGCGTTATTTGGATTGCACTCCCATAACAAATTTCCAAGAGCGGGGGCGAGGGGCGTTAATGGCAAAGCAAGTCTAATATAACAGGAAACTAATCCACGGGTAAATCATCGTTCCTGCACCAAAAGGCCGTGGAGCACAGGGTGCACCTCGTCAGAATCCACATTCGAACTGTTGGTCCTTATAACCGAAGGATTTTGTACTGTGGCATTTACGGGGACTAGGTTTGTCTGGTGTATTTTTGTGATTGACGATGATAATGCTCGCTCCGATGACGCTTCTAGAGTCTGTTATTGCCTCAGTAACATTGGCCAGTGAAATGATAGCTAAGACAGGTTTTGACAGACCACTCCGCTGCCTTAGATCACATTCCAGGAAGAATAATGACGCTGCGCAGCTAGAGAATTACTTTTTTTTTCTAAATTTTGTTTTTCTAAAAAGCAGATTATCATTTCAGGTTTAGACGCAAAGATATCTGTTCAGTCAATGTTGAATGCGAAGTTTTTAGACTACCGGACAGCTTCCGCTGCCTATGGCATATGTTTTGATCGGGTAGGACAAATATGACGTAGACCGTCGAGCCGACCATGCATGCCATTATCGTCCAAATATACTTCCAATGGTAAGGGCATCATACCATACCACATAAATAGACCTTTTACAATATAGCTATTGTGGGCGGCCAGAAAGAATCTTGTACAAAAACCGGCATCCGAACATGACTGAAATATCATAGGATTACGACAATAAATCTTATAACCCAACTTAAGTAAACTTTTCGAAACCAATACATGTTTCAGACATTCGGTTAACATTTAATCAGCCAGCACACCTACTATACACATGTGTACAATCAGAAACAGTTCAATTCGGTTCGGAATCCAAAATTCTAAGAGGTTTTACTAGAACTTTATGGTTTTAAGCGGAGACGGTTAACTGAGCAGGTTAATGGGATGAAAGACACTTGCACGATAAACGCTGCCCAGAAGTGGGTTTCGTTATGGATTTTTAGGAGACTCTGGTCAGAAAATCTAGGAAGCTCGAAGTCAATTACTACGTATTCTTGTCAAAATAATAAGAACTCAAATATCAACAGTTTTTTTTGACAGATGCGCATAATTCATCCGACCAATTATGGACAATAGACAGTCTTTGTCGGATTTAAACTCACGACAGCAAACGTTACTCTTGTATACAGTCGACACTTTAACCACCTGAGCTAAGAAGCTCTAACTGGAAGCCTTGAGTTTAACCGCATTTTGGCAAAGGTACCCACCCAACCTACTAAAACGCATGGAGTCTACCAATTCTGATATAATAAGCTGCTTAAAAATTCCAACTAATTTAACCTGGTAGTTGTCCGGAGGATTCTACATTGATTGTTAAGAAAATCTTTTTTGGGCAGTCAGCCTAAGTAGCCGAATTGGTGGATTCAATAATTTGCAGCAGTTTTCGGCACCATTTCACGTGTAAAGTCTGTCATTCAGAAGTGTAAAAATGAGTCAAGATGGGTCAGAGCGAACCTGGAACAACTGGTAAAAATAGGTATGGACCAGGGATTTTGCGGAAGTGGATTGATACTAGTTTTTATCAGAAGCTTGGCTGGCATGCTGTGGAACCCCAGTGGAACCCCAGTAACGTGGCTAATAAGTCAACGATCAAGGCGATCGTCAGTTGCTGGTTGACATGCCCTAATACCAATGCGGCACGATTCCAACCCAAAATTCTTCCAGCCCAAACAAATCCGCGCATTGACTGCTTGGCACTGGCGTCGTGCTCATGTGACTCCTGTGGTCTGCGGCCAAAGGGACTCTGTGCACTACGACAGGCCAAGCAGTCGGTACGACTAACCTATTAAGTTGTAGGCATGGAAGGGCAGATCACACATACGACATTTTGGGTCGTATGCGTCAGTTCTCGATCGAACACCTTGTAGTACGCACGCTGATTGCCTGCCACCCTTCGCCCTTTGCTGCTTCCCTATTTATCATAGTTTTAAATTTTTGGTGTAGCAATTTAAGCGCATATCAGGTCGAAAGTATCGACGTACCACAAGCCATGATGTCAATAAAACCTTGCGAAGGATTAATGAAAATGCGAGGAAAAATTGAGAAAGAAGATGCCATTCATTCACCGTCGAAGGCTTGCACCTTCTGCCCTGTTCGAGCTCCGTTCACGCGAGAATTACCATTAGATTATGGGGATTGATAATATTATGTGGCTGAATAGACAAGTTATTCAGAAAGCAATGTTTGCGTTGAAGGAAGGCAAATATCTCTTGATACTTCATTCATCCGATAAAGTAAGCCGTCTGTTGATAACTAGGTAAAGGGGAAGGCCGAGAACCACGCTCAACCATGTTTCATGTTTCATCAATAGAGGGTAGGGAACGGATCCGTGTAAACCC